TTTTATTGCAATGAATGTTGACAGCAATATAATCTAAGCAACAAATTATAATTAACAATTTTCACATAATGATTTCTTTTGGCATATCAAACTTTTGGTACATTGAAAGGTTAATTACTTAGTAATATGCATCTGGCCCTTCGGGTCAAGTGGTCTCCGACCACATTGAAGATGCACTCCCCCTCCCCCTTGGGCAGGGTTCAAACCCGCCTCATGTAATATCGATCAAAAAAAAAAAAATTACTTAGTAATATAAAGGTTTAAACATTTGATTTTAATCTCAAATTAAAATTTTTTAAGTTAGTGGATACCAATTTAATTAAAACTTTTGTTGGCCTTTTCACATAATTTTGATTCATAAATTGATACTATGGAATACCTGTTATCATATATTAAAACCAAAAAAAAAGCAAGTAATTATATACCACGGCTGGAACCAGGATTGAATCAAGGCTAAGGCCTATGAGTTGGGACACAAGATTTTGATCACCAAACCGTTATACTTTTCAATATTTCGCTTTCACTAATTTGCATTGTTATTAAACTAAAACACACTGCCATTTTCAAAGATATCGTCTTCAAAAAGTCGTCTACACAACGACAATGAAACTTAATTTTAAAAGAGAAGAATTCAAGGAGGAAAAAAATTTGATGGTGGAAGGCAAAATTGTATAATAATGACAAAAGAAAATTATTATGATGAATTTATTATTATCTTATTTTTATCTCTTAAAAAATATTTTAATAGTTTGAATTTTCATATTGAGAATATTAAATTTAAATTTTAAAATGAGTGAAGAGAAATTTAAGAAGAAAAAGACTTTTTCCCTATTATATAATCATCATTTGATATATTATTAATTATTTAAAATATTAAAAAATAAATTTTATATTATTTAATATTTGATAATGGTTCTATATATCATTATTCTTAAATTTAATGTTTGATTCATTAATTATTGATATGTAATAACTTTGGTCTAACTAGTTATATTTTAACTCATTGTTCAACAAATTTGAAAAGGATATTTTTAACATGTGCCTTAATTCTTTACTTTTAGGGCACAAATTAAGAGTTTAATAAATATATGTTTTTATTATAAATTTGTATTAAAAAAATAAAAATTAAGTTTCAATTCATAAATTATTCAATTAAATTAATTTCCTTGGCACTTATAATAAAATTAATATTAATTTTTATTTTATATATATATTTATGATAAAAAATACTTTTAATCTATATTATGAGAATACATATTAAAAAAATAATTTAAAAAAGTTTATCAAAATAGTCCAATAGAACTACTTCAAGCTTAGTTTTCTTAAAATTCATAACCACAAGTGCCTTGTTTTCTTAACTCTGTCTAATCTTACTCCATAGATAATAATAATGGTATCTCTTTTAATTTTTTAATCACCACATTCTGATTTTTAAAATATAACTTTCTTCATTATCAAGATATCCACTAAAGTAATTTTATTTATAAAGAACTTACGAAATCTTGATAGATCTAGACAATTTTGATTTTTGTTTTGAAACTGTAAATTGTTTTTAGAGAATAGAATTCTATATAAAGGTGATAAAAAATTTTTGTTTTACCATTTAAATTGTATTATATTAAAAAATAAAAATTATTAAATGAAATAAAGTTTTTAATTTCAAACATTCACTTTTATTTAATTGTTTAAATTGTACAATTCAATGGTAATGATAATGCGTAGTTAATAGACAGCATATAAATTTAGCTAATATACTGCCACAGTTAAGCTGGATTGTTCCAGCAAATAGCAATTTTTTTGTCTCATAAATGTTCCTAATTAGTTGCAAATGTTCCAAATCCACTGTCCTCTTTTGCAAATTGCTGATTAAGGACTCTTTCCTTTCCCTCCAGTAAAACCACAGTATTTAATAAAAATCTCATTTGGCCCCCACTCCCTGCTCCTTCCACTGAATCCCTTTCACTCTTCGTCTTCCCTCGTGATTCGTGCAGACTTCTTAATTTCCTCCGTGACTCCTCCCTCTCCCATTAAAGAAAAAATCAGAAGAGAAGAAATACGAAACGAACCCCCGCCCCCGGAGAGAAATGAAGGGAAACACCACCTCCGCCACCGCCACCAATACAAAGCTGATCCTCCTCCACCCTTCCATCCTTAAATCCTCCCCCTCCTCCCCCCGCTTCTTCTTTCTATTCTTCCTCACATTTTTCACTTTAGCCTTTGTTCTAACCCTCTTCAACACCTCCTCCACCATGCCCTCCGCCACCACTTCTTTCCCCACTGGTACCACCGCCCTGCCCTCCTCTGTCGCCACCACGCTCCTCCATTATGCCGCTTCCTCTAACACCACCCAGCACCACATGACCCTCTCTGAACTCTCCCTCATTTCCTCGGCTCTTAACCGCTGCCCTTCCCGCTGCCACTTCCTCATCTTCGGTCTCACACACGAGTCCCTCCTCTGGCACTCCCTCAACCTAGACGGCCGCACCATCTTCCTCGATGAAAGTGAGTACTTCGTCTCCAGTTTCGAACGTGCCCACCCCGAAATCGAAGCGTACGACATTCAGTACACCACCAAAGTAAGCCAAATGTCCGATTTGATTTCCATAGCTAAAACCCAGATCGATCACGACTGCCGGCCGGTGCAAAACCTCCTCTTCTCCGATTGCAAACTCGCCATCAACGATTTGCCCAACCACATCTACGACTTGAATTGGGATATGATCCTAATCGACGGCCCACGCGGGTACTTTCCCGATGCGCCTGGCAGGATGGCTCCGATATTCACCTCGTCGGTGTTGGCAAGGAGCAAGAAGAAAGGCGGGAAGACGCATGTGTTTGTGCACGATTTTAATAGGGAAGTGGAGAGGATTTATGGGGAGGAGTTCTTGTGCGAGGAAAACTTGGAGGAGACGGTGGATTCGCTGGCGCATTTTGTGGTGGAGACCCGAGGGGTGGACGGTGATGGCGGTGGGGTTAGATTTTGTCTGAATTCCTTATCTTTTTCTCCGTTGTCATCAGAATTAGATGATTGAGAGGTGGGAATTGTGATTATAATTATACCATCATTACATTTTTTTTTTCCTTTTTGCCTTTTCTTTTGCAATATAGAACTGTAATATAAAAAATTAAAACCTTGAAGGAGAGTTAAAATTAGTTAATTTCTTGCATTTCATTAAATCAATACTGTTTGGTAGCTGGGAAAGGGTAGCAAAGTTAAATGCAAAAGGAATTTCAATTTCACCAAAGGTGTCTTGCTAGTTTAGTTGGCAAAAAGTTTGCTTCACACTTGCTTAAAATTTGATATTTTTTGAAAATTCATGAATTCTAAAACTTCGGTGTGTTGACATGGCTTTAATAAGAGCAAAGATAGTCGAGTTTATGTGTAAGCTGCCCTTAGTCAAATTAAAATTTCAGTAAATTTAACTTTATTGTATCAAAAATGTTTTTTTTTTTTTTAATTTAAGTAATTTAGTAGTTATTTTATTTTCTTAGAAGTAAGACTTAAATAATTCAATCATTATCTTATTTCGTTAGAAGTAAAAGACCTTGACTTTAAATCGTATGGCATATGGGTGAGATGAAATAAAATATAAGAGATAATTATCTCATATTATATAATCAAGATAAAAAAAAATTATACAATAAAAAGTGATTCTTTCTTTTAATATGCTTCACTCAAATATTATACAATTTAAATTTAAAATTTTTATTTATAATAAAAAATATTTTATTAAATTATTTAATTTATTACCTGTGTCCTAAAACATTAAAAAGTTTTTTTTGGCTGCTTAGAGAAAAACTTGAATGAGGTAAAAAAAATACAGTAACTTTTTAAGAACTGCCTTGTACGCGTGGAGTGGTCCTAGTCAAATTAAAATTAAAATGCAATCCTTTTCATTCGTAGAGATTTAGGAACCTAAAATTGTGGCTTTAATATTGGACAAGAAATGTCGGAATTAAATAGGAAGGTCAGAATTTAGCCGGCAATTAGCTAATACATATATTTTATAAAACCCAAAGCAGATAGGAATATCCATTTAATATGGTTTGAAGTTTCTCAGCAACCAAACAAGAAATGTACGTTAGGTAAAAGAGGAGAATGATATGAAGGTGTCGGTGCTACTGGTTAGCACTTCGTGGTTAGTGAGGTGGGAAGACATGAAAGTGAGTTGCTTTTTCAATAATCAAAACAAAAGTTTATTAGATTTGTCTAAAAGAACATTATATATAAAGTTAGCATGTGTTGGACATGTCCGAGCTACCTTGGATCGTTCACATTTCAAAAGTCAATAAACTTAGGACTGTTAAGGAAAACACTAAGATATGATCTCAGTATTCTTAAGACGTGATTTCCTCAATTTCAACTGATTTCTTGTAATTTTTACTCCCATTTAATTTTAATAAACTTCATTTTTAATTTAAAGTGTTTAAATTTAATTATATATTTTCTAAAAAATATTATTTAATATACTTATTTTTATTTTATTTGTATTTTTAAAAAATAATTACAAAATATTTTAGATAAAAAAATTTATTGAAGTATTGATTAATATAAATAAATTTAAAGTTGTATTAATTAATTATTACTCTTTTTATTTATTTATTAAAAAAAAGAAAACTAAGTTTTTCGAAAATAATGTAGTTGTAATATTCTATAGTGTTGTAAACTTAAAAAATAACATATTATTATATAATTAATTTTTTATTTAAAAATTCACTTTTAATGTTATATTTATTTATTTAATTAATAAAATCTTATATTTATTTAATATTATATCAAAATTATAAATTTATAATTTTATATAATATTATAATTATGATATTATCGATTATATTATATGTTTCTTTAACATTGTATCTCGGATGACATCATGTACACGTTTACAGAACTTATGTATATTTCCTCAGTTGTGAATAATAAATCAAACAATATCGTACTTGAGCTTTCGGCTCAATTATGTCAAGTAACATATAAATGTATTTCCTTTCCTCGAGGGTAACGGTTAAAACCCGACCCCTTATGGATTTATTCAAAAAAAAAAAAATAAAACAATATTCAGCCTGCCTTTCCTTGCTTTTATCAGTGGCATCAAAGTGTTACCTCTGGCGTGATTTCCTGATCCGCTATGGCAGAAGACTAGACTTTGCAAACGGGCACGTTGAGTTGTAGCTGGGTCATAGGTAAGGTGAACCTTAATCCAACCTTAGCGAGGTATGAGTCAATATGTGAGCTTACTTTATTTTTATTTTTTATAATGATTCTTTTAATTTTATTATATTTAAATAAAATTAAAAGTATCTAAATTTAACTAAAGCTTAAAAGTTCTAAAATAATGTAAAAGTTAATTAATACTAAAACTTTATAATTTTCACTACAAATATTTAAATTAAGAAAAAATCTTAAGTTAAATATAATAGTAAGTTGCACTTGGCCCGTGTGCCCCAGTGGCTAGAGCCACTGAAAAGTGTACATCCCCCTCCCCTGAACGGGTTTCGAACCCGCCCCATGACAAAACTGTTCAAAATATATATATATATATAAAATAGTAAGTTAATTAATAATATTAAATTAGAATATTAAAATTTCTTAAAAAATAAAGTTTAAATTTTACAATCATCATCTTAAAATATAATTTATCAAGAAGTTTAAGTTTCTCCTTAAGATGAAATTGCTTTTCCAAGAACTTTTTTCACTAAATCGTTATATCTATATCCCAACATCACATTTTCAATATTCTTAGTTACATTATCACCTAATTCATTATAATTGATAATTAGATCAAACCACATAATTTCTAGTGGAGGTAAAAGAGATAATGATCAATAAACACTCCAAATAGGTTCAAAACCATGTGAATAATGGAGAGGAGATTAAAGAGTATGAATCCATAAAAAGAGTTACTAATAGGAAAATTAATTAAGAATAATAAAAAAAATGTTTATAATAATAATAATAATAATAATAAAAGCAAACGAGTTAACCTATGAATCCACACGTTGATTTGAATTCGATCCATGATTTGTGTGGGTTAATATTACAAGTTATTTACTGGTCATGGATTAAGATATTTAGACTTTAACCTATATTGTTCATGGTCATCTTAGGGTCGAGTCGCTTTTTGTCACCCCTACTGACGACAAACCTGCATAAACACCCACAAACTCTCCATTAACTAACTCTTCCTCCACCACCAATAGACCATTGTTGTCGCTGCTTCTCATGAACCTTCATCCACCAAAAACAAATAAAAGAAATATGGTTTTTCTACCCTTATCTTTAGGGCACAAATTAGTTTTATTAATTATAACATCAATAATTATTTTTATATAAATTTTTATAATAAGTTCATACTTTTTACATATTTCAAGTATAAATATTATATTATATTTTTATTTTACATTTTATATTTTATTTTAATTGAATCTACTATGAAAATTTGTGTAAAATTAATTATAAATATTACAATTAATAAGGCCTAATTTTTGCCCTAATGGCACTGGTTAAAAAATATCATAATAAAATTAGGTTTGTGTAACCTATATTTTAAAGATACAAGTTAAGAGTACGTTTGGTGCAGCTTTTCAAGTACTTCAGTTTTTTATATTATTCATATTTCACAAGTTTAAATTTTTTTCCTAAAAATTTATATTTTTAAATATTTTTTTTAATCTTAAAAAGATCCTAAACAGTAAAAAATCAAAAACTT